AAACGCATATTTGAGCTAGTACATTATCTTATCCTTTTCCTTGCCGTTCTTTGCAAGCGCTTTGTTTTTTCTCGTTACATTATTTCCCTGGTTCTCGTTTTGACCAGCGTTTTCTGTTTTCCATTAGACGGTGTTTTCGTTTGTAATAAATATTATTTGAGACAAAGGCCTTGTCAGTGTCTGCTGCTTCGGGGATCCACTTATTCTCGTTCGCTCTGTTTGCATACGAAGCAGTTCTTGTTTCCTGCCTTGTATGCAACGTGACACAGATGAGCAACGCTGTCTTGGGTGGCGATCGAGGGGAGGTCGAGTTAGCGACAGTGAGATGGTGGAAAGAAAAGCCACCGGGTCCAGGAAGTATTTGTTATTGTTAGATTCAGACGCAGCATGAACGTTGCATTTCTAAAATGGCTACAAAACGGACCTTTGGATGTCAAGCAGCTAAAACAAGAGCTCTGACGCTGGAAGACAGGGGAAAAGTGATCAAAATGAAAGACGGAGGACAAAATAAAAGACATTATCCAAGAAATTGATGTCAGTGAAAGTGAGTATTGATCATAAATTTCGCAATTTTTTTCCCTTTTTTTCTTTCTACACTGACAATATGAAGTGTCAAATAAGTGTGTGCTCATACTTATGCACTATTGGAATAAAAATAAAGAGTACACATTCAATTGTGTGTGCGTGTACACATACATTTGTGTGTGTGTGTGTGTGTGTGTGTGTGTGTGTTACATCTGAGATCAAATTTGTTACAGTGAAAAACCCCCTGTTGTGAAAAATTTCTTGCTGCAAACATGATTTCGTTGTAGAGGAGTTTCACTGTATCCCAAAATATCAACACCAGATCAGTCATAATAAAATCCAAGGAATATTTGAAGATTTATGATTAACTCAAACTGGGTGAAATCAACAACTCACTTCCTTCCTGAGCCCTTGACTGCAGTTCATTTATCATGTTTACTGGGAAATACTCATAATCAGGTCACCATATATGAGGACAAAAATGGTGATATCGTAGTCCTCAGCTCAGCATCACTTTAACATTCACCCTCCCCCGCCCACCCTCACGATCACATAAAAATTGACTCATGAATAATGGCAGAACCGTGTCAATTGCCATCTGCCTCGACTGTGTGGACCTCAGCAACTCCCATGGTCGCACAGCAAATTAATGATTCTTCTCAAGTCTTCACAGTCCATTTATACGCTCCAGTGTTGGTACTGTGTGACCCCAAAAAGAAACCCTCATGAACATCCAAAGCATTCATTTAAAAGACACACAGATATGTCCCTCTCGTCAGCTAAGCTATAACTCAGTCAGTCAGTACTCATAACTCGGGATAATGAAGACAGTACTGTTTTTTTGGTATGGACCAATTTGGGTCGTTACTTCAGAGCACCAATTCACGGGACCATGTTTCAGTTCTGGAGCAGGTCTTTTTAAGTTTTCACTGCGTGCGTGCAGGGGTTGGTGATTTTCCATGGTACACTTGAATGAAGCAGTGCATGCATACCAGCGTAATGACATCACCTAATCAAGCAGGATTTCACACACGCTAAAAATACATCTCTGGTTTTGGAAATGAGCTGCTCAGCCTGTCACGTTTCGTGCGAACCGAATAAAGTTGGGATCCCAAAAGTGTAGACACCAGACAAGGTCTCCGTAGCAAAAAAGGTTTTAATATAGTAAAATCGCACCGACAAAGAAGTAACATAAAGCGCTGGTCAAAACAAGGACCAGAGGGCACAAAAACGAATAACAAAAAGCGCTTGCATAAAAGGCAAGGGAGGAAAATAAGAACCGAGAAAACAAACAAAAAAACAACGTATCAAATAAACGCAAGCGAAAGCCAAATCACAAAACAAAAACCATACTTACAAAACCATTGGTACCGAGTGTTCAAAAAGCGAAAAACAACGAGCTCTATAGCAAAATAGTCTATGAGCAAGGAAGCAGCAAGGCAAAAGCAATACTCCGACATCAGGTGCACAGCAGAAGAGTCCTTAAATACAGAGTCTCATAATCATAGATTGGCAGCAGGTGTGCACCCAGAAGTCCGCTCATGCCACCTGCTGGCCAGACCGAAAACAGAACTGTGACAGTACCCCCCCTCAACGGACGCCTCCTGGCGGACCACCCGGCTTCGATGGGTGCGCAGCGTGGAAAGCACGGAGAAGGGACGGGTCCAAGATCCAGGAGCGGGGGACCCACTGCCGATCCTCCGGGCCGTAGCCCTCCCAGTCGACCAGATACTGGAACCCCTTACCCCTGCGCCGAGAGTCCAAAATTTCCTGCACCGTGTACACCGGGTCACCATCGATAATGCGCGGAGGAGGAGGCGAGGTGGGAGGAGGAGCCAAGGGACTGGTGGCTACCGGCTTAAGCAGGGAAATGTGGAAGACGGGGTGGACCTTCATGGTGGGCGGCAGCCGGAACTTGACGGAGACGGGGCTAATGACCGATTCCACCATGAACGGTCCCGTGAAGCGAGGCCCCAACTTGCTCGAGGTGCCGGCCAGACGCAGATCCCTCGTCAACAGCCACACCTCCTGGCCCACCTGATAGGCTGGCGCCGGGCGACGACGACGATCCACTATCATCCGGTTCCTGGAGGCGGTGCGAGACAACGCGGCTCTGGTCTCCCTCCACATGCGATGAGCCCGTCTCAGATGAAGCTGCACCGACGGGACCTCCACCTGCCCTTCTTGTGATGGAAAAAGCGGCTGATAGCCATAGGCAGACATAAAAGGAGACAGACCTGTGGCTGACGAGACGAGGGTGTTATGGGCATATTCCACCCAGGGCAGGTGAACAGACCATGACGAGGGACGATGGAGACACACGCAACGTAGAGCCGCCTCCAGGTCCTGGTACACGCGCTCTGTCTGTCCGTTGGACTGCGAGTGGTAACCCGACAATAGACTTGCCGTTGCTCCCATGGCCTGACAGAACTGCTTCCACACCCTGGAGACGAATTGGGGACCCCGGTCCAACACAATGTCCACCGGGATCCCATGGAGCCGGAAGACATAGTTAACGAGAAGGTCAGCGGTCTCCAGGGCAGACGGCAACTTGGACAAAGGAACGAAATGAGCTGATTTAGAGAAGCGGTCCACAATGGTAAGAATGACTGACTTTCCCCGGGAAGGAGGGAGGCCAGTGACAAAGTCCATGGAGATGTGGGACCAGGGTCGAGGTGGGACGGGTAGGGGTTGAAGCAACCCCGCCGGAGGCTGGTGAGAGGCCTTACTACAGGCGCAGGTGGAGCAGGCCTTAACGAAATCTAGAATGTCCTTCCGCAGCTCTGGCCACCAAAACCGCTGAGAGACGAGATGCCGGGTCCGGTTCATCCCAGGATGGCAAGCCACCCTTGACGAGTGCCCCCACTGCAACACTTCCGAACGCAGAGGTGGGGATACAAAGAGTTTCCCTGCGGGACAGCCAGCTGGGACTTGGGTTCCGTCTTCGGCCTCCTGGATCTTACGCTCGATCTCCCACCTCAGCGCCCCCAAGATCCAGTGGTCCGGAAGAATGCTCCTTGGTTCGCTGCTCCTCTCAGCGGGGTCATGGATACGTGATCGGGCATCTGGTTTTATGTTCTTGGAACCCGGACAATAGGTGAGTGTAAAGTTGTAGCGCGTAAGTAGTAGCGCCCACCGGGCTTGACGTGAGTTCAGTCTCTTGGCAGAGCGAATGTATGCGAGGTTCTTGTGGTCGGTGTACACGGTGAACGGCTCCTTCGTCCCCTCGAGCCAGTGCCTTCATTCCTGTAGAGCTGAAACGACGCCCAGCAGTTCACGATTTCCCATGTAATAGTTGGTTTCTGCTGGACTGAGACGACGAGAGAAGAAGGCGCAAGGGTGGAGTCTCTGGTCAACTGGGGAACGCTGTGACAATACCGCCCCCAATCCTGTCTCTGAAGCGTCCACCTCTACCATAAAAGGATTTTCTGGGTTAGGATGTTGCAAAACAGGGGGGTTAGTGAAAGCCTTCTTTAACTCGGAAAACGCATTGTCGGCGTCAGAGTCCCACCTAAAGGGGACCTTGACGGATGTCAACCGGGTTAACGGAAGGGCTCTCTGGCTATAGTTTCTGATGAATCATCGGTAGAAGTTGGCGAAACCCAAGAAACATTGCAGCTGTTTCCTAGTGGTGGGTGTAGGCCACTCCACCACCTCCTTAGTCTTGGCGGAATCAGCTCTCAGCTGACCCTTCTCAATAACAAAACCAAGAAACGTAACTGACTCAACATGAAACTCACATTTCTCTGCTTTCACGAAGAGTCGATTTTCCAAGAGACGCTGCAAGACGAGCCTGACGTGGTGTTGGTGCTCTTGAAGCGTACGAGAAAAAAATCAATATGTTGTCCAGGTAAACAAAACAAAACACGTTCAATAAATCTCTCAATACGTCATTAATAAGACTCTGAAAAACGGCGGGTGCATTGGTCAACCCAAAAGGCATGACCAAATATTCGAAATGTCCCAGTGGGGTCTTCAATGCAGTTTTCCATTCACCCCCCTCCCGAATGCCGACCAAATGGTAGGCACTACGTAGATCAAGTTTAGAGAAGATGGTTGCAGATTGGAGGGGGGCAAACGCGGAATCTAATCGCGGAAGTGGATATTTGTTCTTGATGGTGATCTCATTAAGTCCCCGATAGTCTACACAAGGTCGTAGTGACTTGTCTTTCTTTTCTATGAAGAAGAACCCGGCCCCCAAAGGAGATCTAGATGGCCTAATAAGGCCGGCAGAGAGTGAGCTGTCGATGTACTCCCTCAATGCTTCTTGTTCCGTGTGGGAAACTTGATACAAGCGAGAACTCGGAAGAGCAAGCAAGTCTATGGCACAATCGTACGGACGGTGTGGTGGCAAGGACTAAGCGCGGTCTTTACTGAACACTTGTCGCAAATCATGGTAGATGCTCGGGACTTTATCTAAACAAATGGATTTAGGCGGATCATTACGAGGAAGCCCTCTACCCCCCGCAGCAGACTGCAAACAGTGAGCATAGCAAAATGGACTCCAATTCTCAATCGCGGGTCGTTCCCATGTGATGACCGGATTATGTGTTCTTAGCCATGGTAACCCCAGGATTAATGGTACGGATCGGGACCGCATCAGATAAAACTTCCTACATTCGACGTGATTGCCTGACAACCTCAACATTAAAGGGCCTGTGATCTGTTTCACCTCCGCCAGGAGTCGCCCATCAAGATCGTGAACCCTTTTGACCTCATTTAACTCCTCTACCGGACAACCCAGGTCGTTAGATATTTTAGTGTCAATGAAGCAATTGTCCGCCCCAAATCCACCAATGCCCGAAACGGAAGAGCCCGTGATTGACCATAAATAGTACCGTCCAGCTCTAGTCTCCTGGGAAGTCCTGACCTGGACTTCTCCGGACCCAAACGTCCTCCTACCAGCTGCATAGGCTCCCCTTCTGCGACGACAGCCCCGGTACCGGTGTGATGCTCTGGTCCGGACGACCGCGAGGACTCATGGGAAGCAGACTGGCCTCCAGCATGTCGGGGCTGGAAACGAACATGGCCCCCTTCGCTTCCGCATTCCCGCTCTCTTTCCCGCATACGATTGTTCAGTAAGAGGGCCAGGTTGATGAGTTCCTCCAAGCTAGTGCTGTCATCGCGGGTAGCCAGTTCATCTTTCAAGGATGAATTTAAACCGCGACGAAACAATCCACAAAGGGCGCAGTCCCCGTAACCAATTCGGGCAGCCAAAATACGAAAGGAAATAGCGTAGTCGGCCACTGATTGCTTTCCTTGCCGGTAATCTAATAACCGACCTTCGGCCTCTCTTCCCATATCCGGCTGGTGGAAGACCCGACGAAACTCTGCCACGAAATCAGGGAAGGAAGACCGAAGCCCGGGTTTGGCATTGCTCACTTCCAACGCCCATGACGCCGCCTGACCAGTCAACAGACTCATTATAAATGCCGCCTTGGTTTTATCCTTTGCATAGGTGTATGGTTGTCGGTCGAACACCAACGAGCATTGGTGAAGAAATTGTCCACCGAGCCCAGGTTCACCACCATAACGCGGTGGGTGTGGAATATTTGGTTCCCGCTCCACGGTCAGGGGGGATGGTACTCCTGTGGTAGCGTTTTGCTCCACTTGTGAACCCAAATTCTCGAGCTGATGATTGTCCTTGGCTGATCAAGGCGGTCATAATCTTGTTGGTGTCTACGGGATCCATGTTGGTTGGAGTATTCTGTCACGTTTTGGGCGAACCGAATAAAGTTGGGATCCCAAAAGTGTAGACACCAGACAAGGTCTCCGTAGTAAAAAAGGTTTTAATATACTAAAATCGCAACGACAAAGAAGTAACATAAAGCACTGGTCAAAACAAGGACCAGAGGGCACAAAAACGAATAACAAAAAGCGCTTGCACAAAAGGCAAGGGAGGAAAATAAGAACCGAGAAGACAAACAAAAAACAATGTATCAAATAAATACAAGCGAAGGCCAAATCACAAAACAAAAACCATACTTACAAAACCATTGGTACCGAGTGTTCAAAAAGCGAAAAACGACGAGGTCTATAGCAAAACAGTCTTTGAGCAAGGAAGCAGCAAGGCAAAAGCAATACTCCGACATCAGGTGCACAGCAGAAGAGTCCTTAAATACAGAGTCTCATAATCACAGATTGGCAGCAGGTGTGCACCCAGAAGTCCGCTCATGCCACCTGCTGGCCAGACCGAAAACAGAACCGTGACACAGCCAAACAACTACAGTTTATGAGGTACACTGTTGCGATGGTGTAGCTTTGCACTTTGTAGCATGCTTTGGTTGTTCGGTGGGTCGGTCGGAGTGGAAGGGTTCAACGCAGTTGCTACAGGGTTGAAAGGGAGGACACCGCCGGCCCCTCCCTCTTAATCTTCCACCACCCAATCAGGTCATGTTGATAGGTGGCAGGCTTTACCTTCCTAACAAATAGCGAAAGGCTGTGGCCGAAATGTAGCGAGTATTACGTATGGCGCCAGGCACATTCCAATCAAGAATTTGAGCCCAATTCTTCTCTTTATTGTCGTGCTCATCGTCTTCCAACCGTCTTTGTTTTTTGCGATGTTTTGGTCCAACCTGGGTTCGAATTCATTGTGACAGGCCTTGCGTTCTTGAAAAACCGTACAAGGAAGATAACACTAATACAGTTATAAATGTATTAGTTAATACAATTACAGTGATCCCTCGCGCTAACGCGGTTCACTCCCCGCGGCTTCGTTGTTTCATGGATTTTTTTAGTGCAGTTTTTTTTTTTTTTTTTTTTTATGCTTTTAAACAGTGAATTGCGTTCTGCATCCTGATTGACTAAGGCACTGACCGACATGAACAGTCTCCGCACCTCATCTCTGTACAGCTTGCCAAATTTACCTTTGCAAATTTTTGGTCTTTGGTTTCATTGT